TTTACAGCTCCTCTTTGGTTACATATCTTTTCAGGTATAGTTCAGTTCCTGTGTTCTTTACAACTTTGGTGATTATTTTGTCATATATTCAATACCTTGTTTATTTTCAAGAGTGTGATCATACTGAGGTCCATCCCATGGCTCGTGCGCTTGAAGTCCGTTACTGAGAGTCCAGTTCAGATCATCATTGACCTCCTGGACCCAACTACATAGACCTGTTTCAAAACTACTTTTTTAATTCTTATTGCTTAAAATACTACATTTGTAATAATAGACAATGAATACAAAATAGAACATTTGCTTGAAAGTGCGCAAATATCCGAATGGCCTCAAGTAAAACTCGAAAACTTAAGAAAGATCACATTAACATCTTTAATAACAAAAGCTGAATTAGGCTAGGGTAGCTTAAAGTCTTCAGGTAGATTGTTCAGTTTTTGATTGAATTATTTTGGCCACAAGCCTTAACAACAAAATTAGAAGATTCCCTGTCCCTTGTTTTTCTTGCTAACCTTTTTCAAAAGTGCAGTCCATGGCGGAGGCAGGAGCAGTGGTTGTCGTAGTAACAGGGTTTGGAGTGGTGGTCGGGAAAATGTCATCACAAAACTGTCCTCTGATGATGTGGATATCGTCCAGGGAGAAGCTATTGCCAACTGATTTGGGACAGCTGGCTTGTAAAATAATCTGTAATGATGAATGACGGTTAGTTCAGAGTTTTTACCTCATGTCACTTTATCAGGGTTCATTATGAAACAAGACATGTCACATTACTTGGTGAGGCCCTGATGCATTGTAATCCACCCTGTCTTGGTTCCACGTGCGATTTAAAGATCCTCTTGTACTCCACACAGGACGCAGCCCAGCACTCTCATTCACAAACATTGTGAGGTTAATATCTGAGGGCCCTGGAAGCAACAAAATTAATCATCAAAAGATGGAATTTACATTTGATGACAAAAACAATAATTTATATTTGTAGGATAATCAGATGTGTGATAAGGCATGCACATCAGAGCGCCAATGCAAAACCAGAAGCCCTCTTGTACCGCGTTCTCTGATTCTTGGATCTTTGTTGTTACTCATCAAACCATCCTACGTTTTTGGATATACATTTAGTCAAACTTCACCTATCATGCTATTTTTAGGCAATAGCATAGGTCTCAGATATATAAAAATATATAAAAAACATGTCTATGAAGTGTTTTGCTCAAAATACCAAACAGATCACCCATTCTAGCCGTGCCTCATATCCCTCTATTTCTACTGCCGTGATGAAACGCCATATCATGGATTATCAAGGATTATTTCTGAAACAGTATGGAGCTCAAAGGCTTTCTCTCTTGCCGGTTATACCAATTAAACTGTATGTCATTTATTACCGCTTTCTCCCCTTGGTATTCGTCGATGTTGTGTACCTAAATGGGACATATTTTTACTCTGACTTACTAAACTTGGACTTTCCTCCTGATAGTACGTTTACTTGAAAACATGTCATGAATATATGTACTTATTATCACATTGGTACACAGTCTCTGTGTGTCTATCATGCTTGGTGGAGGAGATAAAAGGAGATATGCTGTTTTAGTAAAATCCCCGTACGTTGCTAGACTTATGTTTACTTATGTCTACAGTTAATAGGTACTTGCAGTCCTTGCTCCCGTTGCGTATTATCCTGTTATGGGGTGGTTGGTTTGGTGGGTTGTGGGTGGTTGAGAGTGGATAGTCCCCTTACACCCCGAACCGCCGGTGCCGGGGCCGTACGGGGCGAGGCTTCGCGACCTCTGCGACATAGGTGTATACGGTCCGGACATTCAACCGCGGACATTCAGGGACGGTGTTTTCGTCGCATTCATTCTGAAGGGAACGTATACCAACGGTACCAAACGGGAAGACCAAATAAGAGGCGACCACCGAGAAACAAGAGGGAGGGGCTCCGTTCCAAACGAGGGCGACGACAATAAGTACGTGAGGGAGGGAGCGACCATTTAAGGAGGAGGCCATCAGGTTTTGGTCGTCTAACTGTTTTGTGGGTGGAAGATGGCGGGATAGTTCCCTTGCTCCCCCTGGCACGCCGTTCTCAAAGGCAAAAATAAAAACCTAAAAAAGAGGCGGCCAGTTGTACAGGCAATTTTCAACACCTTTAGAAGGCTTGTTTTAATCTTTCTCACGGCCAGGCTGTTAGAAGAAAACATAGAATAACTCGAATTTTTTGTTTTACTTATGTGCTGAGATATATGTAGATATTCGTTATTTTGTGCGCTCCTGCACTTCTTAGAAGAAAAAGAGGGGGAGGAGACTGGCGGGTCTCGAACTAGAGTCTCGGTGCAAGGGGTGAGAGGAGCGGTCCGCCCCCGGGCACCAGTCGACGTCGAGTGTCTTAGTCGGGGGACGGGTTGTGTCCCGACCTTTTCTCCGTTTATCTCCGCTTTACTCCGGTACCGATTTTTCGTCCCCTAGAACTAAAAGCCATTAAACTTTGTTGTGATATATATATGAAATATGATCCATACCGGGGATGGTTATGTATTTATGGCGTGCTATCCAGGTATAAATTCACTCTATTACTGTCGAGAGTTTCATCGTTAGGCAATTTTTAGAGGTCCCCAAGATTCTCGTGCTCCTTCCATCTCTTTTCAACGTCAAAAGTTAGTACGGTTGAAGAAGTTAGTATCGGGTGATGACAAATGAAAGGTTAACACCGTAACTTGAATTTCCCCTGGATGAGTACGTTTTGACGTGGAGGAAGTAGAACACCAGTCCCCTGGAGTGCTAGGTGCAGTTTTATTTTTGGGAGAGAGAAAAAGGAGACTGGGTAGAGATTTTGCCGGACATTTTTTACCTCGGTCTAGGTCCGTAAAGTCGCAGGCATACTGCTTATGGTATGTCCTTGAGCGCGTGTGTCGGTTGATAGGTTCTGTCTTTGCGGAGGACGATAGTCTTGTTACGGGCTTGACAAAACCTGGCAGAGACGCAGGGGCGAGCATTGAATCGTGGCGATGTGTGAGGCCGGACGAGCGTGGCTTGGACTACTATCCGCGAGCCGCGTCGTCCGTGTAGGTGG